TGCATGGCATTGCTTCTAGTTATGTCTCCTCACTCTGCATGCCTCTTCCACCCCTCCCTTTTTTTCCTTTTCCCTATTCTCCTTTGTTTGCCCAGCACTCTTTCATTCCGTACAATACAGCATTTCAGTTCTTGCAATAAATGCCTTCATGTGGAGCAGTTCAAGTAGGAGAGGATGTTATTAGACAGTGCTCTCAGGCAACACACCTTCACACAATCAATACACATTCAGAGCTGTGTTCATTCCCTCTTTGCTTAAATTCCCTGCAAAAGTGCAAGGGAAGCAGCAGAGGGTATCATCAATCATGGGCCACAGTGACATATGCTGAAGCCTGACCAATGCTGAGATGTTTTAATAAGGCATCCATTAAAACCCTCAAATAAATTGCAATTTTAAAACAGAACATGATACAGACCAAGTTTTCCTCATCCATCTTCTGGTGTGTCATGTAATGTAATTGCACTGTTAATTTATCCAAGAACTTTCTCCATACACGGTTTCATCAGCATTGCTTAATTTCCCTGAAGAGTTGTGTGTGTGTGTGTGTGTGTGTGTGTGTTTGTGTGGTGTGTATGTGTGTGTGCTGGTGGGGGAGCATGCACACAAGTCTCGCTGCTTCAGGGGTGTAGAGTAATGTTTCTGCTTAGCATGGCATTAGCCAGAGAGCTAATCAAAGATTTGAAATGTCTGACACTTTGTCAATGGACAATTCAGCTTTGTGTTGTTGCCTTACCAACTCTAGCCTAGAGCAGCCCCCTCTGCTTGCCTTTTTCTTCCTGCCAAACTTTCTGTGGTTTATGCCCCTCCAGAGTGGGGTCATTCAATGTGCCTGTGGATCTCGTCAATACCTATTGACCAACGAGTTTAGGGACCATTTAAGATTGCAAAGCATTGGCACGCAGTCCTGATTTTGGTTCTCAAGCTTAGGACGTGTGTAGAGCTTTGACAAGGATAAGGAAAGTGAGAAGCTTGAAATCAATACCAAAGAATGAAAAAATATTGCTATAGAAGAATGTCAAAGTGATTATGCTTGTTCCCTCCTCCCTGTTTTATTTTTTAAGATCTGGAAGAGAGACAGAGGCAGGGGTGTTGTATAGATTTCTTTGTCTTCCATGCATAAATCTAAAAATAAGTAATGCAATTCCTCATGTAATGCTGCGTCAGCAGATTTTCTACTTTTATTTATTCTTTTTTTTCCCCCTTAATCAATTCTTTATCTCTTTCTGCTATGGAAGGAATAGTCAGGAGGCATAAAATAAGATTTGCCATGTACATGCCGTTAAATCTGTACTGCTGCTTGAGCAATCATGCCATCTAGGTTTTGGTTTAAATCTAATAAATGTCCTCTGAAGAATGTCTTGAAGTCAAAAGGTATGCAGAAAGAAAACTTAAATCAGACAATAATTCTGGGTATCAAAAGGCAATTAAAACCAACAGCCTTTCCATGTTATCTTCCAGAATATTCAATTATTTTTCAGTATAGGTGTTCCAAAAGTCAAATGATAGTTCCTTGCCTTCAGTTATACACCAGAGTCCACCTTGTGTCGAAATATTACCAGTAAACATTGGGTTTACAAAATGCTGGTTTTCAGGCAAATCTGCCTGAATTTGCACAAAGATGCAGACCAGCTCATGCAGTCATGTTTATTTTTTTTGAAGCTCTCCAAGAGGTGAAGCAGCCATATTTTGCTAATCTTAAAATTTGTTTCAGTAGTCATTAACATTTTCATCCAAGCAACTACACAAGAAAAGCCTTCTTCTCCTAACCATAGAAGCACTTCAGGGGAAAAAAAAGAAATAGATAACAGAAAATCATAGTTGGAAGGGAAACTATGCCACAAATGGCAGTCCAATCTCTTCTTGAAAGTCTCAAGTGATGGCGCTCCCACAACTTCCGAGGGCAAGCTGTTCCATTGGTTGATTGTTCTCACTGTCAGAAAGTTTCTCCTTATTTCTAGGTTAAATCTCTCTTGTTCAGTTTCCATCCATTATTCCTTGTCTGGCCTACAGGCACTTTAGAAAATAGCTTGACCCCTTCCTCTCTGTGGCAGCCCCTCAAATATTGGAAGACTGCTATCATGTCTTCCCTCTTTACTAGACTAGCCAAGCCCAGTTCCTGCAACCGTTCATTGTATGTTTTAGCCTCCAGTCCTGGTTGCTCTTCTCTGTACTTTTTCTAGAGTCTCAACATCTTTTTTATAATGTGGTGAACAAAACTGGATGCAGTACTCTAGTGTGGTCTTACTAAGGCTTTATAGAGTGGTAATAGTACTTTTCTTGATCTTGATTGTATCCCTCTGTTAATACAATTTAGGATTTCATTAGCTTTTTTGGCTGCTGCTGCATACTGCTGGCTCATATTTAGCTGGTTGACCACTAAGACTGCAAGATCCCTCTTACAGTTACTGCTATTGAGCCTGGTTTCACCCAGTCTATATGTGTACTTTTGGTTTTTCTTGCCTAAGTGTAGGATTTACATTGAATTTCATTTTGTTAGATATGGTCCAGTGTTCTAGTCTGTCAAGATCCATCTGGTCTTGAGCCTATCTTCTTGGGTGTTAGCTATTCCTGCCAGCTTAGTATCATCTGCAAATTTGGTAATTTCCCCCAAACAACATTATGATCATGTCCATATGGAGTAGAGGCATTTTTATCTTACATTTTGGAAATATCTGGAAAGTCTAAAAAAAATATGAGGCATCCATAGTTGTGGCATGTTGACCTATTAATGGGGTTCTTTGTTTTCAAGTACTTATTCCATGTGATGTTTTGATTTCTTCTTTTTGAGCACTTTCTTGAACTGATTTATAATCCCAGCATCTCATGGTGACCTGTGCAGTGTTTTCATTAATTCAACCCCTGTTATGTAATTAAAGGCTGCTTGAATTTCTTATTGGCTTAAACACTCTTCTTAACTCCAGTTTGTGACCCCATGTTTCTGAGATACTAAAATTGTTCAGGACGTACCATGAATAACCTTGTTTTAACCACCAAATTACCTGTGCCTGAATTCAATTTGAGGCTTAACTATAAAGACAAAAACCTCCCTATATGTTTATATTTGGAACACAATGCGTGACCTTTAAAAATCTCCTAATGTTACTACTCATCCAGTGAGGTAAACCATATGTCATTGGTAATTGAATATAAGTACAGATTTAAGTTTATCTAGATATGCAGATCATTCCATAGTATTTCTTGCCTATTGATGTTTTATTAAACATTTATTTTCCCAGTCGACATGTTCAAAATTTTAAGGCATCTATATTTTCTCCTTATAAACATACCCACCCCTGTAAATGGACCCAAAACTTAACAAAGCCAAATATTCTTCAGGGTACAAATTTCCTATAGTGACTGGACTTTTGAAAAAATCCTTAGAATATCTGGAAATAAGCCAACATGATTCCGTCTCCCCAACATGATATTTCTAAGCTAACCTCAGGAGAAAACTATTTACATTTCATAGCATAAATCTGAACTCTTGGCCAATTTTCTGTTAGCCTGCACCAATTCTCATGCTAATTTTCTATCATACCTGCAGTTTTATGAAAGTCATATTTTATCTGTTTGGTTATTTGCAGTCATGTAAGAGTTGAAGAAGGAATATTACCACTATTAACCTTTTATAGTGGGAGTCATAGTATTTGCCTCACCCTTTTTTTCCTGATCCTATTGAATTTCCTATACAAAGAAAATGAAAAATCTATATATTTAATAGTGGGAGCATATAAACCAGAGTTTTATTATTGCATGTAGTACTGGGTGAAAACTTTTCAAGGAAAATACAGATTGCTTTATATAAGCTTAGCGGACAAGGAAAAAGGAGGCATGTGGATTTAACAAATGAAGCAGGAAACATTAGAAAGAATGCAGTCAAATATTGTTGCTCATTCTCTTAACATTAATCTAAGAACAAATTCCACCCAGGGTTGCCAACTTCTTTTTTCTTCATTTTTTTCCTAGAAAAGATTTTTGAATACTTGCTGTCTGTCAGTCTAGAAATATAAGCAAGGTAAGTTTTTCTTGGCATCTTGTTAAAGAGATGAAAAGCTCAAATCTTTAAATGTAATGCTGTGCTGAAATCCATCTGCAATTTTCCTACCAAGTTCTTCCACTGTTTGAGGAACTTGTGCTTGATGCAATTGTTTTTTAAAAAGCTCATTTTCAAGTACTTTCATGTTTCTTTCAGATTTCTTTGGGTGTTGTTTTTCAGGTGGCAGTAATGCTAATAGTGTTCCTTTTTCTGTTTTACTCATTCTAATAGCCTCTAAGACTACCTGTACTTTTTGATCTGTAGATAGTGATCAAAGTTTCTCCTATGTTTTTTGGTGACACATATAGAAAAACAGGCAGAGTTTTAATTACACTGTTGCAACTGTCATCTTGACTTTTTTGAGCTTACCCTAAAATAAGGAAAAATAAAGGACAGGTGTTTTGAAAAAAAACTGTTTAAAAACTTTATTTGAATTCTGAATTTAAAATTGTATATTTTAAATGTTTGAGCATCATTTTTAAACTCGTGCAGCCTATAATGAGAGGAAAAAATAAGTAAAGGTAAGATGTATGAACACAACTCTGTACAATTTTTTTTCAAAATTTGGATTAATTTACCTGTCTGAGCCAGAATCCTGAACTTGAACTGTAAATCAGTTCAGACCCAATAGGATCAGATTAGTCCAAACTGTATCATTCTTAATTTGAAGATTCATTAAAATATATATTTTATTACTGCATGTGTTTAACAAAGTCTAAAAACATATCCCACCCTGCACTAAGTTTGGAATAGACAGGTTTGTACCAACCTACTCTGTCTTCACACTAATCAGAAGTTTTGCCTGACCATTTGGGATTGCATAAAACTGGATAAGAAGTAAAGGATAGGATACTGTAATCTTTAAAAAAAACTCTCAATAAAGGTTACAGCATATTAAGCAAACAAATGGGCAAACAACTCCAATTTTTCTTTTTTGCTAGCCTTATTTCCAATTTTAAATGAGAACTTCAAGGCTTAGATGGCTAAACACGGCCATTGAGGGCTTGGAGCAATGAAATATTAACATTAATCAGCTAAATCTAGTAAAAATCTACAGGAATTAATCTTAGATAGAAGTTAATTGCTTGTCTAGCACACAGACTTGAAACTTGAATTACAAAATACTTCTGGGAAAAGCCACAGGACAAAACCTCATGGAAGGCCAGATTAGAAATGAAGTTGATCTGGACTTGGTATAGCTTTCCTCTAGGGCTGAGAAAAACACCATTGCCCATTTTATTTATGGATTGCAAGTATATTTGAATCTAATGCACAAGCCCTACAGATATTTTGACCTCATTTGGACACTAAATAATTTGTTATCACCCGGAAATTAGAAAAGAGTATTCAATATTCCAAAGGCAATACCTAATATTATCATTTTAATATATTATTGCTGGAGTACATAGTAATCGAAGAATATCTTAATTCTGGTAAAATCTAAAACAAAAATAAGGGTTTCATTCATTCAATTAATAAATATTAATAATTAATATGTGTTGGTATTATTACTATTCTTTTTTCTTTAGCAGAAATAATCTGTTACATAGAATCCAGCCTTTATCTTTATTTTGGAACATATAAAACAACAAGGAACACTTTTATGTACTGTTATAATGGAAGTTAATAATTTGCCAAAAAGAAATTCACTTCTTTCTTGCCAGGCTTTATTATTTTTTTCTGTTTCTCCAGTAGATTCGTACTATGTTCCGCTTGAATGATCTAAGCATCTAAACATCTGTTCTATTCCAAGGCTCTGGGATTACACATAATAAAGAGCATACCAAGAAAAGCCACCAAAAACAAAGTGAAAATCTTGCAAATGTTTTCATTTAAATGTCCACAGATATCAATCAAGCACTGTTTCTTCTAGCAGAGACTTCAAGAACGCTTACTTTGTAGTGTAATTGCTGAATATAATTTTATGGCACAATACAAGTTCTGGTTTTCTTTGGCATTTTGTAACCCCGATCAGAAATCAATACCTGTATTACTATTCGTAGGCATAATTTTGAAGGGCACAGAGGCATTCTAAAAACCAGATGTTTGTATACTGTTTGGTTGGGAAAGGAGTCAAGGAAATATGGGTGTCTTTAATAATGAAAGGCAATTGTGAGCTAAGCTGGCATGACTCTCCATATTCCCATATCAGCTTTCTGGCCCATTGGGATTTTTCTGCTCTAGCTAAAGAAATGAGAGAGGCAGGAGGCTAGAATAACAGGGACTCCATTTTTACCCAAGTTTCAGCTGATACAGAATGCTCTGCATTCCTGTATAATGAAAAATCAGCACTAGAGTTGCCTATTCCTAAAACCACAGCCAATTTAGCAAGACCATTTGTTATTCTCTGTGTACAGGTGTAGTTAGACATGCCCATAAGGACTACTACAGGAAAAACAGTCTGTTAGAAGGACACCAACCAAGATAACTTCAGCCCAAAATAAAACATGCTTTGCTTCTGGTAACGCTGTGTTTTAACTGTCCCTCTTATATACTATTTTCCAGCTGCGACTAATGAGGGGGATCATGGCCACTTCTTCTCTCTTAAGCCAAGTTGTTTGCTTCTCCATTCCTTCCTGTGTGTCCTAGTGTTAGGGATATACCCTAGCAAGATCTGCAGGGCAGTCAGGCAGGCAGGCAAAATACGTGAGATAAGTGTTTTTGTAGCTTACACTCAGTAAACCATACACAGTGCCAATTAAAATAGTTTTATTCCAGCAAGAGTTAAAAGCATAGTCAAAACAGTCCATATATCATTCACTTAGTTCAGTCCGTCCAGGGATTATTCATTTGCAAATTCCAGTGTCGAAAAAGAGAGGTCAGTACACTTACAAATATCAGTCCAGTGATATATCTCCTCGCAGTAGAGAGGTATGCAAAAACTCAAAAACTCCTCTCTTCCTTTAGCAATTCTTCAGTAGAGAAAACACGCAGCTAACAAACATCAACGTAATCCAATCCAGTAATTGTCAGTAATTGCCAGCAAACTGTCAGCGTCTCGTCAGCAATCAATCAGGTCCTCTTGCTGCCTCTTATGGTGGTTTCACACTACACCCAAAATTACATGCTTTGCATTTAAAGTGACACACACTTAAACTAACAATCATAGCTTATATATATATTATTTTACCCAAACTACGTTAGGTGACCAATATTATACCTAACATTCTCCCCTTTTGGGTAATATAATAATATATATATCTATTTACAACCTTAACCCATAGTCATCACAACTCTCTTTGTGTTTGACTGCACCTTGGGCTTTTGTGAACTGATCAGCAATATTTTGCTCAGTCATACAATATTCCAATCTTATTAAACCATCTTTTACAGATTGTCTTACATTCAGATATCTAAGATCTGTATGCTTAGATCTCGTTTTTACAGCAATATTTGTAGCCATCTGTATGGCTGCTTGATTGTCCTCATACACAACAATGGAATCATTAACAGTTAATCCCATATCCAATAACAACTGTTTATACAGAATTAAATCAGTACATAATAAAGATAGACATGAAAATTCTGCTTCCATTGTGGACATACTTATGTGTTGCTGTCTAATTGACCTCCAACCAATTAATGCTTTTCCTAATAGTATAGCCATTCCTGAAGTTGATTTCCTAGTGTTTATATCTGTTGCAAAACTTGCATCAGCATATGCACTTAAAATCAAATCATCTTTTGGCTCCAAATACAATGCATAGTGCATTGTCCTTTTAAGATATCTTAAGATACGTTTTGCTGCTTGCCAGTGTCGTTCATCGGGTTCAGCGTTGAATCGAGCCAATTGATTAACGCCATAGGCAATATCTGGCCTTGACCAATTACTAATGTACGATAGACTGCCAATTAGTGACTGGTATATAGCCTTATCGAATTTTGAACTTTGAGCATCAGTGCGGCAAAATTCCTGACTCATTGGAGTTTTTGCTGGTTTACAAAGTTCCATCTTATATGTTTTTAGTAATTGATAAATCTTATCCTCTTGAGATATCTTATAGCCACGATTGGTTTTATTTATTGTCAATCCGAGATACTGTTTTATCTCTCCTAATTGCTTTAATTTTATCCTCCTACCTAATAATGATATTATTTCAGTAGCTTCATTATTAGTTTTTGTAATTAAAGCAATATCATCTGTAAACAACAATAATAATGACACTATTCCATTTTTCTCTCTTTTAAATAAACATGGATCAGCTAAACCTGCTTTAAACCCTATATTGTTTAACTCCTTAACAATATATTGGTTCCATTCGTAACCAGATTGTTTTAATCCATAGAGACTCTTTTTAAGTTTCCAACAGTCATTATTAGTTTTATCATCCTTAATCCCTACAGGTTTCTTTAGGTATATAGTGTGCTGCAATGGTGCATGCAGATAAGCAGTTTCTACATCTAAATGATTTATGATATAGTTTTTCTTAGCTGCCCACACTAAAGCTGCTCTCAAGGTTGTTGCTTTTAGACTCGGTGCAAACACTTCATCATAATCACATGCAGTTTGATTAAATCCTTGAGCTACCAACCTAGCCTTATAGGTAACAGTCCCATTTTTACCTGTTTTTAATTTAAATATCCATTTGCATCCAATGGACTTTTCCCCTGGAGGTAATCTAGCATTCTCATAGACTCCCATCTGTTTTAATGAATTCAGTTCCTTTTGCATTGCTGTATGCCAGTTCTCCTGATCCTTCACAGGATACAATTTCAATTCTTCCACAGTAGTTGGAATTTTACTAATCTGGCACACCACACTTGCCTGATACCTATCAGGTGGTCTACTTACTCGTGTTGACCGTCTAGGTAGAACAGGACTCACAGGTGGACTCTTATCTATCACCTGTTCCTGGTTATCTATTTCTTCTTCACTTATTTCTTCCTTAATTGGTCCTATTTTCACTTCCTTTACTTTCTCTTCAATTGGATTTTCCTCATCACTAGTATGGTGGCTCGGGCCCCTGTAGGTTTCTATGATTACACTTTTATTCGAATCTTGTTCCAGTTTGTGCCATCCTACATGTTCCAGGAATTGAGCACTAGCACTACAATAAATTTTAGTTGTGCCCTCTTCCCAGAACCTGTAAGATCTATGGTTTGATTCGTAACCTACAAAATATAATCTTTTAGCCCTATGCTGTCCCTTATGTCTCAGTTGTGTAGGAATATGCACCCATGCTGGTGCTCCAAATGTGTGCATATAGCTTAGGTCAGGTTTTCTACCATGCCACCGTGTGAATGGTAATTCACCTGTTGTTGAGTTAACAATATTATTCAATATATGATTGCCACACATTATTGCTTCTCCCCACAAATTCTCAGGTAATCCTGAATCTGACAACATAGTATGAGCCATTGCCTGCAGTGTTTGGCCTCGCCTTTCTATAAAGGAATTATGTTGTGGCCTATATGGTGCAGACCTTTTATGTTCTACACCTGCCATCTTCAGTCTATTTTGGAATTTATTATTTATAAATTCCGTACCATTATCAGTTACAAGAGTTACTAGTTTCCTTTTAGTTTTTCTCTCTGCAAACTTCAACCAATTAAAGAAATTCTGATATATTTCCGTTTTACTCTTCATTAAATAACAAAAACCATATCTAGAATAATGATCCATTATACTTAATATATAACGAGCACCTCCCACACTTGGTTTTTTAGGACCTATAATATCAGCAAATACGACCTCTAGAGGCTCCTTAGTCTTAAATCCATTAACTCTATTTGCTGGTATTACCTTGCTTTTTTTCTTGACTGCAAGCATTGCAGTGCAAATACTTACTGCAAGGCTTCAGTTTTATACCTTTAGACAGTTCAACCGTTTGCTTGAGCATTTTAAAATTTATATGCCCTAAACGTCTGTGTAACAAATGTATGCATTCATCATGAGGTTTAACGTTATTATACACTGTGTTAGCCACCTCTAATTGATTATCATTTAACACATACAATTCACCTTTTAAATTTGCAGTCACTTTTTTACCTTCCTTTTCTATTATGCAGTTTTCTCCCCTAAAGGTAACTACATAACCTAGTTTAATCAAAACTCTAACTGAAAGCAAATTAAACTTGAGTTGTGGTACATATAACATTTTTACATTTTCTTTTATGCAAGAACAATATGCAGTACCTTCAGCTTTTGCTTTAAGTTTCCAACCATTAGGTAACGATATCTGCTGTGAACTCGTGGACATCTTAATAAATCTTTTCTTATCTTTTGTTATGCAGTGCGATGCTCCACTATCTACCACCCAAAAATTATTATTGTTCACAGTTTGGTTGCTATACATGGCTAACTCTAAGCATTTTTTATCCTTTTGATGCCTTTTAGCATTCTGGCTGGCATTTTGGCGTTTTGCTTTCTTGCAGAATCTGGCCAAATGTCCTTTTCTTCCACACTTAAAACATTTTCTAATTGTGTAGGCTGACGAAGATAATTCCTCTTCTTGTGGCTGTTCCCTTCTGAGTTGATCCCTTTCAAGCCTTCTCCTGGCTTCTTCAATTAATCTGCCAGTAATATCAGTTAATGTGAGGTTATCCTTTGGCAGCACTTCCAATGAAGTTACATAGTCGTCATAGCTCTGATCTAATGAAGACAAAATTATACAAACCTGATGCAGTTCAGTGAAGATAAGCTCTTTTTCATGCAGCTCCTGAAAAATCCTCTTCATAGTGTTTATATGAGTCAACATGTCTCCATTCTTTTGAAGATGTGTTCTGAACAGCTTCCGTGTAAGATTGATATGAGCTCCTACACTGTCTCGAACATAAATCTTCTTTAAATTCTCCCAGCACTTAGCAGCTGTTTCTTCTCCACGAATATGGACAAGCTGCTGGTCACAGAGTGTCAGTCCTATTATACAGAGAGCTTGTTCATTTTTCAGTTTATATTCTTGTATTTTGTGGGCATCATCTTCATCCTCTGGATCACAAGCATCTACCTCTGGTGGGTTTTGAATTATATTCCACAAACCTTCTCTGCGTAGAAGTAGGCTGCATTTCATAGACCATGAAACATAGTTTGTTCCATCCAGTTTGGATATTAGAGACAAACTTGGTAAATTGACTTCTGCCATCTTTCTCTGGATATTAAACTATAATTAATAAAACACAGCTGTCTGTTTACAGTATTGTGTAACTACACTAACTCTCACTTTATATAAGCCTGTTATATCCTGGTTAGTCTGACTGTGCAGCTGGGCCCATAACCAGTGTTAGGGATATACCCTAGCAAGATCTGCAGGGCAGTCAGGCAGGCAGGCAGGCAAAATACGTGAGATAAGTGTTTTTGTAGCTTACACTCAGTAAACCATACACAGTGCCAATTAAAATAGTTTTATTCCAGCAAGAGTTAAAAGCATAGTCAAAACAGTCCATATATCATTCACTTAGTTCAGTCCGTCCAGGGATTATTCATTTGCAAATTCCAGTGTCGAAAAAGAGAGGTCAGTACACTTACAAATATCAGTCCGGTGATATATCTCCTCGCAGTAGAGAGATATGCAAAAACTCAAAAACTCCTTTCTTCCTTTAGCAATTCTTCAGTAGGGAAAACACGCAGCTAACA